TCTCCCTTCGACCAGGTAATCCCACTTCCAGGCATTTACTCTGAAAACACAACTCCCACAATACAAAAATAAGCATGTATAAGATTATTCATTACAACATTATTATAACTGCAAAATATTGGAACCTATCTAAATAATCCAAACATAGGAGACTATTTGAAAAAACTAGTTTCAAAAAATTATTGAAAAAACTATTTGAAAAAACTAGGTACAGAAAATGGATACTTCTGTAAAAATGAATGAAGATTTCTATGAATTGCTATAAAGTGATTTCCAGAATATATTGTTAAGTGAAAAAAGCAAACATACACACAGCAAATAGATAACTTCCTGGGAAGAGGGAAGGACATTCCCAACACTAGAATGTCAACTGATAAATGTGGATAGAATGGCAGAATGGAAAATCACTAGTTCTCAGTCATCACAGTAAAAATTGGTTTGGAAATATTCATCAATGGATGGTAAACCTAGCGGGAAATTTTGAAGAGGAGGAGGATATTTACATGATCTTAAAAATGTCTCTTTACAGAATGCTGATTGGTTAAAAGGGGAGAAATGTTACCATACAGTGAAGAAGCTATAGTACATCACTGTGACAGGATGACAAAAATTAATGTCACCACTGAAGGGTGGGTGGACATCATGTGTCTCCAGATACAATACCCAAGGAGAATACAATTCTGGTTGGGAATGCCTTGTCCGAATCTAGTCATGAGAAAACACCCAGACAAACCCAACTGAGGCACAGTCTACAAATCAATTGGCTTGTATTCTTCCACAATTTCAGTGTCAGAAGAGTTACAAAGACAAGCTGAGAAATTTCTAGATTAAAGGAGACCAGGTTCAAGGATTACATTAGTTTCAGGTGTGCAACATAGTGATTCAACAATTTTTTTTCATTTTGAAATGAAATACAAAATTTTTTCATTTGTAATATGTGATCAAGGATTGGATCTTGCATTGGAGGGGAAAAACACTGCCATAAAGAACAGTACTGGGACAGTGACAAAAGAGAATATGGTCTGTCCCAATGTTAACATTCCTGAATTTGGTAACTGTATTGTGGCTACATAAGATAATATCCTTGTTCTTATGAGACATATATTGAAGTATTCAGGGATAAAAGGATATGATATATTCAACATACATTCAGATGATTAAAAAATATAAATATCATTTGAGCTTATGTGTGTGTGTGTGTGTGTGTGTGTGTTTGTACATATGCTTATATAGATAAATAGAATGAACATGGCAAAGTAACATGGTGAATCTGGTGGTAACTACACTCACCATCATGAGCATTTCAAAATGAAAAAAAATTGTTGAATCACTATGTTGCACACCCGAAACTAATGTAATATTGCACATCAACTAAGCTTCAATTAAACATTTTTTAAAAATAAATAAATAAGCAACATGGTGAACCTGGGCCCCACCAACAAGAGGCTTTACCTAACTGATTTCCCATTCGCACAGCCCTAAGGGTTCCTAGGAGTAATAAGGTCTGATACCATGGAAGGCCACACTTGCATTAGAATTCCTTTGCTGATCCCTGCCTCTAGATATTTGAATTTCTTTCTCTAAGCATTGTTTCCTAAACTGTGGCCCAGGAAACACTAGTATCTTATAGACTTATTAGACTCTCCTCTTGATTCACAATCCACATTTGCATTTTCAGTGCACAGTAAAACCATATGTTAAAGACATTTAATTTTAACAATATTTCTCAAATTTATTGAACTACAAACTCTTCTTCTAGGAAGACTATGAACTCTCATGAGATACTAGTACTCTATGTATGCAAAGTGGTTTGGGAAATGCTTCTCTAAACGAAAATCAGATCTTTGCACTGCAGAATTCTGGTCTTAGAAGCCATCTTTAGAAGCCAGTGAATTTTGTTAGGGGCCATGGCTCTCACTGGGTGACTCTGAGCATCAATATTATCACTTGTCTTCCTCTGAACTTTACAAACTGGTGCAGCAAAGATAGCTCTGAGACCTTGAGGGCGAATCTGGATTTAGTAAGAAAACATTTAGGAAAAATGGACTAAGAAAGAAACCTTAAAATTAAATTTCAGACTCTATTCTATCAAACGAGAGTAAAATAATATAAAAAACATGGCAAGGTTGGTGAGAAACTGCTTCAATTAAGAACAAAGAAAAACCAGCTTCTGGTGGTGAGGTAAATCAGAAAAACCTTTTGGAAGAATGTCAGTATGAATCAAGAACTATAAAGTATTCATCTTTCCACCCAGTAGTTTAACTTTTTAGAAATTTACACCAGCAAATAACTCTAGAAAAGAAGAAATTATTTTGCATAACAATACTTAGAATGATTGATACTAACAAAAAATTACAAAGCCACCAGGGTTCCTATGCTTACTAAGTACCATCAGCCACACAGCGACCTGAGCTAGAATTCTGTCATAAAGCTGGACTCCTCCATCTCCTCTCTTCCCCACATCTGCACAACCCCCAGGCCTGCTATTTCTACTCTCCATGTAGCTCTCAAATCTGTGCAGGTCTCTCAAACCCTGGACATGGTCTCAGTCCAGGCTGTCATCATCCCCTACATGGACCGCTGCGGCCATCGCCTGAGTCATCTCACTGCTTATCTCTCCACCATTCAGTACATTCTCCATACCACAGAGCCATCCTTCTAGGCTGACAATCTGATAATGCCAATCTCCCTGCTTGAAAACCTTTACGTGCCCTTTGGATGAAGCTCAAATTCCTTAACATGCCTTCAACACCCTACCTGAATGATAACCATCTACTGCCTTCACCATTCCCACTGCCTAAGCAAAGGAGACTTCTTGCAGTTGCCTGAATGTGTCAAGCTTTGTCTCACCTCCAGACCTTTGCACATGCTCTTCCTGCTGTCTGGGCCAGTCTTCCTCACCAATTAGGAGTTTTTGAAACAGGTATCTATGTTTATTACCCTTTTTTCCTCACATCTCACCCACTATACAGTGTGGTTTATGTCCTCATAATTACCCCAGTGTATCCATCAAAAAAAAAAAAAACTAAAGAAAGAAAAGGAAAGAGAAAAATTTTTTAATTCATATGTCGCACTAAATATCAGGCATTGTGCTAAGCACTTTACAAATATTAACTCATTTCTCCCCCAGCAACTCCATGTCCTCTGTAGCAGCAAAAGCTATCAAGATGTAGAGGATATCCCTTTCATTTTCACTTTTCCTCTTGTTTTCTGGCAAATCCTTCTCTTTTTCCTTTGCCAGGTTATCCTTCTTTATGTGACCACTGAATTCCAAATTTCTTCAAGACTCTGTCATCAGTCTTTCCTCTTCTCACTCCATGAACCCTCCATAGGCACCTCATCCTCTCTCAAGGCAATTACTGTGCATAAGCACATGACTGCCTGACCTATTTTCTGAGCTCCAATCCTGATTATCTGACTGCCTGGCTGTCACTTCCACTTCGATGCCTCATGGACATTCCTGACTCACCCTCAAAACCTGAGCTCACTATCTCTCCAGCACCCAGTCACACCTGCTCCCACACTGTCAAGGTCATAAACAACCCATTTATTGTTCAGAACAGAAACCCAGGAGCCACCTTTCCCTTCCCTTTCCCCCACATCCAGTCAATCTCCATAGCTCATCAACTCTGCTTCCCAAGTCTCTGTCAGCTCTGTCTCCTTGTCTTCACCCTTACTCTCACCATCATAATCAAGCCACCATCGACTTCAGCTTCACTACTTCAATAGCCTCCTATCTGGTGTCTCTACTTCTACCCCTTTTCCCAATCCAGTCTCTACAATTCAGCCAGAATAATCTTTCTAAAAAATACTGGGTTTGAATCTGGGTTATGCCATGCATTGGCAGGAATGTTTCTTCTGGGTCACTCGACCTTTCTAATTCTTGACTTCCTTATTTATACACTGGAAATAATCTGTCACAGGGTGGTAGTAATATTTAAGAGTGATAATCCAGATAAAATGAATGAATAGAACACTCTAAGGGAGTATAAATGGTCAGACAAATTTAAAAAGAAACAGCAATAAAGACCTCTTGTTTTACCTCATTTTGAAATAACAGGAATGAGTTGTATGCAGCTTAGAACTTTAACAGGGGAAAAAAATCTCAACAATTTTAAATATGCTTTTAGTAAATGATATGATACAAAAACATTGAGCTCACTGTGATGGTTAATTTTATGTGCCAAGTTGGCTAGGCCATGGTGCCCAGTTATTAGGTCAAACACTAGATGTTTCTGTGAATAAATTTTGTACATGTGATTAACTTCGGCAATCAATAGACTGAGTAAAGGAGATTACCCTCAGTAATACAAAAGGGCTTCATGCACTTGAAGGCCTAAAGAGAAAAATGCTGAGGCTTCCTGGAGAAGAAGGAATTCTGCCTCAAGACTGTAATATAGAGATCCTGCCTGAGTTTCACGCTGGCCCACCTACCTCACGAATTTGGGACTTGTCGGCTCCTACAAACGTGTGAGTTAATTCCTTAAAATCGATCTCTGTCTCTCTCTATATATATATATGTGTATATCCTATTGATTCTGGTCCTCCAGATAACCCTGACTGACAACTCAGAAGAATGTTACAAGGATAAAGTAGAAAAGCAGCTAATAGATGACAACTCTAAGTGATTTCAGGTAAAGATTTTAGCGTGCAGTAGAACAGAACCCAAATTAGTTTGATAACAGAAGCTCTCAACAGATAAATATTAATGGATAAAGACACTCTGTCTGAGAAATAAGACTTAAATTATGCACCTAATATGAGAAAAGTCATCTTCAGTGAGTCTCAGACTGTGGAATATGCACCCACCTGGCAACAGAGGCCAGTATACCCGTATCCATCTACATGAAGATATTTGCGGAACACCTCCACCAGGCCAAGTGTTCTACTTACCTGGCACAAACAACAAAGCCAGGTATTCTCAGAACTGCCATTTCACTTGTGCCCCTGAAAAGCAATGGGTCTAGAACCTCTTTGATGGCCCGCATGTCGCAGCTTACCTGCAAAAAATGGTCGATGGATGCGTCGTGAAATCCCAGGGCTTGTTCTGCACCTGCCAATTCCCTCAATATTGGTACACACTCAAGACTTTCTTCACCTTTGCGGATCTCAATATATTCTAAAGCCTCTTGGTAGTGGGGCAGAGCTTCTTTTGTTTTCTTCTGACCTTGATATACCCTAAAAAAAAGGGACTATTTTTAAAATTGAAAATATAGGTGGCATGGTGATTAGGATTTGGCTCTCTGATCCGTTGTCCACGTTTGTTTCCTGACCCCTAAGCCTTTCTTTCCTCCAAGAGGCAGCAGGATGATTCAAATCCTGGCTTCACCGCTTAGTAGACATATGAAATCCAAGTCCCTTAACTGTAGCCTCATCTGTAAATTAAGAATCATAACAGTGCCTACTTCAATGACTTAGGAAGATTAAATTAGTTAATATTCATAAAAACACCTAGAACAGTCTTTGACACACTGTAAGAGCTGTATAGGTGTTGGTCTAAAAAATTCACATACTTACCAAAATAACAGCAGCAACACAAAGGATGCAGAGATGCTGATAACAAATCTGTTGAGAAATTATAGAAATTTCCCAGTATTGGTGAGGGTGTGAAGCACTCTCATTAACTATTGTAGAGAATATAATTTGAGCATAAACCTTTCTCCATTAAAATTATACATAGATATGTACACACACACATTTCTGCTAACTGCAACTTTAGTAGCTTATCTGTTCAAGATACTCTGGCAGGACAAGAAGATATATATGAGGATGTTCACCTAAGCATTCTCTGTAATAGCAGAAAAGTACAAAGTACTTAAACCACAACAATAGGCAATCATCAAAGCAGATTACAGTAAATATATCTATACTGTGGAATGCCATGTGGCCATGAAAGTTAACACTGATCCATATTTATCAACACAAAAGTATATCCACTATATTCTTCAGCCAAAAAGGCAGATTACAAAAATATTTTGTGTACTATCTCATGAATGTGAAAATTGTCTATCTAATCTATATATGTTTTTACATATTTAAGAGGTATTTAAGTGGTCATCACTAAAATGTTAGCAACAATTCTGTCTAAGAAGTTGGTTCTGAGTGATTTTACTTCTCTTGTTCATGCTTTTTAAATTTCCCAAATTTTCTTTTATAAAACTATATTACTTTTACATTAGAAAAATGTTAATTTAAAATTTATAAGTAAAGGTGGCACAGGAAAATATTCTTATAGCTCTGGTGACAGGACTCTCTTGTATTAAAAATGTATCCCTATATTTTGTTCAGTAAGCACAATAGATATTGAAAAACACCTTCTCCAAAATATTTGCTAAAACTATTAGAAACTTTCTTTTTGCAATGGAAAAATTTAATTACAAAATTCATAATGAAAGATATCAACCCTTCCTGTTACACTCCCTCCCCAAATCTTTATGACAGAAAGGCTCTAGAACTTCCAAATTGCCTTGGGTAAACTGAGATAATATGAGAAAGTGACTAAGGATCACAAAAAAAAAGGTCTTCTTTTCAACTCAACCATTGGATATTTTTCACAATTATCTTTGCTCTCCAGTGAACTTCAAAGAGATTGACTGATAGAAGTAAACACACTTCTCAGATTTGTGGTTCAGATGGCCATAATGAAATAAAATGCTGACTGAACAGATTATAAACAAGGATGCATCCTATAATTGAAAAGAGTTTCAACATACAGGAAGATGCCAGGGCTATGTTCTTGGACCAAGTAGGGTCTAGGCTGTAGCTTGCAGTAACTCTAATCACGGAAAGGAAGAGATTAATAGGTGATTTAGTAATAAATGCCTTCTAACCCTTAATGAACTTAGAATGTAGTGGGTAATAATTAAGTTCATTAAGTATCACATTTTATTTCTGAAGAGAAAACCTGCTAGCCTATTTGGTGATACAAAGAGGCTTTGAAACACATGGTTGGTAAAAACTACTTAGCCGAAGATTTAGATTACTGGTAGACAAATGGTTAAATAATTGAAAACAGGAGTCAGCCAAACTATGGCCTGTGAGCCAAATCTTTTCACTGCCTGTTTTTGTAAATAAAGTTTTATTGGCACATAGCCACTCCGACTTGTTTACACATTGTCTATGGCTGCTTCTGCTATACAATGGCAGAGCTGAGTAGCTGCTAGAGACACCAGAAGGCTTACAAAGCCTGAAATATTTACTGTCTGGGACTTTACAGAAAAAGTTTGCCAACTTCTTGCCTAGACTCCAGAGAAAGTCACATACTTTCAAAATGACTTCAGATTTTTTTCCACCCAATTTAGCCTACAGAACTCAGACAATGCTGTAGATATTTGAGCAAAGGAGAAAAAAAAATCATCTTCTTCCTTTCTCATGTTCATGAATGATCCAGCGTGTTCCAAGGAAGAAAAGAATACATTCTTTGTTTTTAAGGCTGCTGAAAAAATCATAGAAGAGTAATAAAGGAAATAAAAATGCCAAGATGACTTCATCTGGGCAACAGTTGTAAAAGAAATCTTAGTAATCAAGCTCATAAATACAAAAAAAAAAGAAAGAAAGAAAAGTAAACAATAACAAGCCATAAATTAATGCATATATCAATAATTAATTGTCCCTTTCCTGTGACTGAACACTAAAGAAAAGTATTTGGGAGTTTATAATGGTGGAGAACAGGGCCAACATGTAACCATCTACTAACTACCTTAGCCAAAAGCACAGCGTATCACTCCACGTTAATGCCATGTCACCTTTTCAGATGTCAAGAAGTCAACCTTCAAATACCCAACTCTCAGAGAAAATTTTATTAAGAAGAACACAGGATGAGAGGCTGGACAATCAGTTACAAGTATTGCAGTAAGGAGTAGAAAACCAAAATGGTAATTTGAGCATCCTTACTAGGTCACACAACCTGGTTTCCTCATCTGAACACTGGCGTCTAATAGGGCTGTTGTGGGAATCAAGTAAGACGTCTGAGAGTGCTTGCAAATGGAAGCGAGTTAGACAGATTGGTATTAAGTTCCTATACGTGATCATACATTTTGCTCCTTCCCTTCCCAATCTGTAGCCTATAGGGAACTGAACACCACAGTCTCTCAGGTTGCTCTCAAGTTGGATCAGGCTCAGTTGTATCTCAGCTTCCTCTCACCCACCCACATAAGACTTTTGTGAAGCCCAAATAATAGGCAGAATCAGTCAAACTCATGGACAAGTGAAGTAGGCATTTTCTTACCCAACTGAGCTTTTTAAAAAAACTGCGAATAATTTATAAGAGCATTATATATTCATTATTAAAAGTAAGAAAGTACATAGAAAAAAAATAATTATAATATCCAAAGATGAGTTCTGTATACCTTGATATATACCCTTCCAGATGTTTTCTTTTCTTTTTTTTAAAATTGTTTAGTTGACCCCTTCCAAAGATCCTCTTTAGTTTTAAAAGGATCATGTTTTAGAACCTGCTTCTTTCACTTAATCATATATTAAAATGTGGCAATGAATGTTATAACATTACTTTTCATGGCTGAGAGACATCATCACATTTGACTGACCACTCATCTTCAAAAATGGTTTGTAGAAAATTTTTACAAATCATATTACTGATGAGGGTCTTGTATCCAGAATATGTAAATAACTCTTACAACAATAAAAAAAAACAATCTAATTTAAAAATGGGCAAAGTAGCTGAACAGTCTCTTTTCCAAAGGACATGTACAAATGGTCAATATGCTCATAAAGTGATAGTCATCATCATTAATCATCAAAGGCATGCATATCAAACTACAATGAGACACCATTTGATGCCCCCAGGGACAGTGGCTATAAAAGAAAAAAGATAATAACAAGTGTTGGCAAGGATGTGGAGAAATTGGAGCCCTTACTTGCCACTGGCGGGAATGTGAAATAGTGCAGCTACTTGGGAAAAAAAATGTCAGTTCCTCAAAAGTTTAAACGTAGAAATTCTATATGACCCAGCAATTCTCTCCTATGTATATACCCAAAAGAAATGAAAATATATATCTACATAAAAACTTGTACATGAATGTTCATAACAGCACTATTCATAAGAGCCAAAAAATGGAAACAACTCATAGGTTAACTAAATAAGGAATGAGTGAATAAAATGTGGTATATCCATACAATGGGAAATTAGTCAGTCATAAAAAAGGAAGCATTGATACATGTTACAACATGGATGAAACCTGAAAGGTAGATGTCAAATGAAAAAGGCCAGTCACAAAAGACCACATATTGTATGATTCCATTTATATGAAATGACCAGAATAGGCAAATCCATAGGCAAACAAACTAGATTAGTGGTTGTCAGGGTTGGAGGGTAATGGGGAGAGGCTGCTAATGGGATGAAAATGCAAAACTGGTTGCAGTGATGGCTGTATAACTTTGTTAATATGCTGAAAATCATTTAATTGTATACTTTAATTGGGTGAATTATATGGTATCTGAGCTATATTCCAATAGATCTGTTATTTTAAAAATTTTTGAGCATTTGGCAGTAAAATTAAATACAGATGTGACTCACTAGTACTCACAAACTTAGTTACTTTGTTTAAACAAATAACTATAATAATAATCATTAAGTAAAAGTCAAAATATTTTTCTCTTAATATCATCCTTGAGCCGGCCATCATTTCTAAGTTGAGCATTCAAAGCAGTCCAGAAAAAGATGGGAAACTGGTCCTGCATGATTGTCTGAACCTAGAACAGAAAAACCCCACCAGTTGTACGGTGGGGAATGAGGAGAGCAGAGCATGTTGCAGAGCGGGCTGCCCCTGATACAGCACAGTGGGCATCCCATGGTGGGCCATAAGCTGGGCTTGGACACTGAGCAATCAGCCTCTCTGATCATCCAGAGCTGTGGTCATGTTTCCTGATGAACCCTAAGGCCTGTGTCTCCTGGTGAATGCCCAGTTCTATGAAAAGTATAACCTTAAGTGAGAAAGCTCAAAATTCATAGAAAAGCCATATAAAATTATTCTTAATGGAATATTCCAGTAAATCAATTACTCTGTAAGTTTAAATATGTTAGTATATTTCATACACGACCCCTGGAGAACACGGATGTGGAAGAATCCCCAAACTGGTGATAAACCCAGCATCTTCCTCCTTTGGCTGATTGTGTCAAGCTGATAGCTGTGGTTCGGGAAACTGGCTTGAAGACTGAG